TGCTTTATATTAAAAGGGCCGTGCTAACCTTGCATAGCATTTAATTGTTGCTTTTCGTCGTGATAAATTCACGAAGCTTTGGCTATTTCAGATTAGACAAGTTTATCTGGCTGGCCTAAAGATCGCTCTGATGTTATTTATAATTGTCCATTGTTCATCGGGGACGCCAATGATACTTTACATACTACAGATATATTGTTAACGCGCACCAAGTGATGCCACGAAAAGGTCTCATATCATGTACAGAATGCTATATTATCTTTGATTTATTAATATAGTATATTTCAATTTTTAATTTAAGTATTACATATAACTATGCTAGGGTCACCCAACAGTCTTCGCTGTTGCACAAATAGGCAGGTCCGTCCGGGACATACCACGAACTCACAAAAGACCGTCGTGAAATGGAATTGATATATTTCTGCGTTTCGTCTTGTGAGTGGGGCAGCCGGGGCAAACTTTATTTAAAGGTGGCAACGCATCTGCAACACTACAAGTCACAAGTCAAGTCGTAAATGACAATGGCCGGCGGTTATCACTTAAGATCAGACGAACTGCTACCTCGTTTGCCACCTTCCCTAAGAAACAGCTTTAAAATTATTTTTTATTAAATACGTAAGAATGTCTTAATCCTTATCACGTGCTCCGCGGTGAAGGAAAACATCGTGAGGAAACCTGCATATTTTCGAAATAATAACAAAATAAATATTTTTCGAAGATATGTGAAGTCTGCCAATCCGCAGTGGGGCCGCGTGGTGGACTATGCCCTGATACCCTCTGTATAGAGGAGGCTTTGCGCAGCAGTGGGACATGTATAGGCTGTTACTTTACTTTTACGTAAGAATGAATTTCGAATAATAAATACCTACAAAAATATTTATTTACAATCAAGGACTCCTATTTCTATGTTGTTCTATAAATTCTGATTATTTGAGCATATGGATTAAAAACAACTGTAACCACACTTGTATAATTGAACAAGTTATAATCTTAATATATATAAATTACGTGTCACGTTGTTTGCACACCGTGTGCAGTTTGATCCAACTTGCAAGATAGGATAGTTTACATCTCCATTTATGGTCGCAGTATTGCAAATAATTTTTTTATTAAATGACAAAGAGTTATAAGTATCTGTGACTTCCATAATATTCTAACAAATGGCGGTGTAATTTAAATTTATCGGCTGGATTGTGTATCTAATAGATAGCGCCATTTTAAAAGTCAAAACGGACTCGGTAGATTTGGCGTAGACGAAGTTGCGCGGGCCAGCTAGTTATTAAATATAATTTCTCTTCAATATATCGAGGCAGATATTGATATTTTTATAAATGTCGATACATTTCTACATCTTGATATCCCTAACTGCAAGACATCGACACCACACTTAATTTTTATTTCGATCGGGCAAGGCATCTACGCGAGCGGTTCACCTCTTGTATCTTGTATTAACTGATGTTTGTGCTTTCAGTCCCGAGACTATTAAAGCTTCATCTGAAGCAGAACCTAGCTAGCCAGAACCCGCGGGTTTGGGTGGTTCACCTGATTGTAACCGAGGAATACTGCTCAAACAAACTCAACGTAACTGATTGTGGGCTTTCGTTATCTCACAGTACTCGCTGGACGAATCGCTCAGTAAGTTAGTACACGCTGATGGTTTGTGGGGCATTATGAGGTTATTAGCTGTAATTTTCGTAAAAGAATTACCATTATTATGAAAAAGACAGGAAGAAATAAAAAAAAACGTAATTAAAAAAATATTTATTAATGTATAATTTAACAATCTACGAATATTTACAACATCTGACGACAAATCTTCGCTTGTATGACTTCCATTTTTCGAAACACGAAAATGGTGGGTCACGGGCACTATTTTTAGATAACCTATCCCTAAATCCTAATGAAGAGAGTATAACACGATAATGGTTTAAAAAAAAATGTTTAATCAGATCGAAAGACGATACTGGAGAGAGATCAATTTATAAAAGTATTGCCATAATTTTGACAATAATCAACACGACAACTAGAACAAAAATTACTAATGATATCATAGTCAGAGTTGTAATCTTTAATTAAAAACATAAATGTAACACAAAAAAATACAACAGTTAGTTGGATCCATGTATTTGCCAATTTTTTTTCTTAGGTTCTTAGAGTTTACATTATGACGATCGAAGTAAATAATGAGAAAAAAAGATAATCTTAAACCTTTACGTTTCAAGTAAAAAAAAACATGGCAACATTAAATGTAGATTATTTAAATCGGCTGTTTAATCAATAATAATTCATAATATACAAACAAAAAGACATGATATTATACGAATAATAAATAAATAATTACATACATTTTTATGAACCACGTTATACTTATAAAAAGGGTACTAATTTTATCTTTGCCAATAATTTCAACTTTGTTTATAAAAGGGACACATTCAATAAATAAACTTTTACATAGAGTAAAATTATTAACTTTCATAAAATAATGATAAATGAGAAACTTATTATGTAAGCACGATAATATATTTAATCATAAAAATTATGCATAATTAATAACAATTCAAAGTAGTTACGTAATTACTGTCTAATGCGCTTGCGTAAATAGTAATAAAAACAATGCAATTTAGCGCGTCAGAAGAATTAATATTAAAAAGGAGAAAAAACAAATTGACCATGTGCGAATCGGACTCGCACTCGAAGGGTTCCGTACCATTATCTAGAAAAACTAAAAGGTCCCACTAAAATATTTTTTATTCTGTTTTTTTTTTTTACTATTATTTGTTATAGCGGCAATAGAAATACATACAGTCTAACTATCACGGTCCATGAGACACAGCCTGGTGACCGAAGGACAGACAGACAAACAGCGGAGTCTTAGTAATAGGGTCCCGTTTTCCATTTTGGGTACGGAACCCTAAAAATACTTGACCACCCACTGAGTATAATGACTTCTGTAATCCAATCAATTTTTTTACTAATTTAAAAATAAGTTAAAAGCTATAAATTTTAGTTAGATTGAAAGGCCAAGAGAATTGTAATTTGTCTGTCATCTACTAAAAGCAATATGACAGTTTCTTATAAACATTCCAAATTAAATCAATAAAATGATGCTACATACGAGATACTGATATTTGATTAATACATTAAATTAAAAAAAAAAATATCTTTCTGTATAAATCTACACTAATATTTTCAAAAGTTCAACAAATCTTTTAAAATGATCATATCTTGTTGACATTAAACAAAAAATACTCTTACTCCACTTGAATTAATAATTTTTTGAAGACGGATAATCAAATAGGACCTGTGCAAATAAATGCGAAACAACTGTTTCAGGAGAAATTTCTGGAATAGATAATAATCACATTTTATCTTATTGGCATGTTTTTGGTGGGGTTTTTAACCGTCTTCAAAAAAGGAGGTTTCTCAATTCGACCGTATATATATTTTTTTTTTATGTGTGTTCGCGGATAACTTCGTCGTTTATTTACCGATTTTGATGTTTATTTTTTTGTTGGAAAGGAGATATCCCAAGAGTGCTACTATGATAAGGGGACCCGGATCTGATGATGGCATCCTAGAGAAATCAAGGGCAATTCTCAAATGTTATAGTTATCAACAATGTTTTTTAGTTTCCGGTTTGAAGTCGGTTTTTTTTTTGTTGAAAATTATTAGATTACTTTTACCGATAAATAATTTGCAATTAGTCCGGACCTAAGTTCAATGCGCCTATTTTCAATGTAGACACCTAAGAAATTGTGGTAAAACCAGTTTTGAATACCACAGATATGATTTAAACAGTACTCTATGCCCCAACCAGTGTATAAGCACCAATCTAAGTTCCAGATTTCATACAAACCCAATCACTCACATACAAACTTTTGCACTATAACAATAACTTGCTTTATATAATATACTTATTTACACAAAAGATGTGTCGATGTGTATAGGGGGTCTTTATTTTATAAATAAAAAAATTCCAAAAGCGCTCTACATAATAGAATGATGAAATATCACATTTCATTCATCGATTTCATACAAACATTTTGAAAAAAATTTTCAAACCTCATCAACTATTCTACATGGATAAAACGTGTATATGTTAAACGTGATTATACATATATAGATAAAACGAAAAAAGAAATTGTAAAAATCTCAATATAAGGCACTTTAATCACTAAGTTGCTTTTATAGATAATAAGATGACTGAAACAATATTCACATAAAACTACTACTTTGCTCTTAGTCGTTTTACGCGAAATAAGATATATTTTTATTTGTTCTTGCAAACATACTTGCATATTTTTATGCATACCTATCTCAGAACCTGTCTATTTATTACAAGACTAATTGCTCTTAGAAAATAAATTCTAAACAAAATATCTAAATAATAAAAAATCTCTTGCTTATCTAGTCATGTAAAAACTGAAACCAAGGCTACCTGAACTAGATATCTAGAGAAAAAACTAGACACTAGATATTATAATGTCATTGTCATGTAGACACGCTTAATTAATGTACTTCACTATAACCCAGGCGTGGGATTCTATTCGAAGCCATCAAATGATAATTGTATTCACTTAATAAAAGCCTTAGCTAAGACATTATATAAAACTTATTTCAACTAAACATAAAATTACCGAGTATGTCTCATGTAGCCAGTTATTAAGACAGTTTGACGCGCCTTACTATATTCCATTAAGGCTTGTGTGAGGCGGGTGACAAGCTTATCACCTGCTAACGGCTTACATGCACATATTACTCTTTTTATTACACTGACGTTAAATGAATCAAAATGTGACCAGTGTACCACTTCCAACAGGGGAGGGGCATGTTACTCCTATTCTTATATCGTTAAATGAATCTAATGGTGACCAGCCTGTCACTTCCAATAGGCGACGTTCGTTAGGGGCTCGGTTGAACTTTACAAAGGCACCGCCGGAATGATTGCCAGTTGACAGCCCTGGCTGCTGTGACCTCCAACGGAACGCTCGGCCCCATCAGCGGCACTTCCTCAGAAACTCCAGGACTTCGTGGGGGTAGTTCTGCCTGGTGGTGGACTTGACCGCGGAGCGAGCGTACTCCAGCGGCGTCACCGAACTGGAATTGAACGAGCGCGAGTTGTAATTTTGAACCAAAAAAAAAAAAACCGAACGGGAAACTAAAAAAAACATTGTCAACGCCTATAACATTTGAGGATTGCCCTCGATTTCTGTGGGATGCCATCATCAGATCCGGGTTTCCTTATCATGGTACCACCCTTGGGATATCTCCTTTCCGTCAAAAAAAGAATCATCAAAATCGGTTCATGAATGACGGAGTTATCCGCGAAGACACATAAAAAAATATAAGTACATTTATATACGGTCGAATTGAGAAAACTCCTTCTTTTTCGAAGTCGGTTAAAAGTATTAGCTTCGGCGTCTTGGGTCGTGGGTTCGATTCCCACACGTGACAACTATTCGTGTGACCCGCAGATAATTTTTTCGCATCTGGGTGTTTGTCCTCGTGCAATTTATGTTTGTAAAACGTCCTTACAACACAGGATAATGTTATCCTACGGTAAGGGGCTATGTTTTCGAAAGGAAGCTGCTCAATAGTGTCATGTCAGTAATGATTATATATTATTATTATTATGTACTCCCAATAGTGATATGCCTATTGTAAAATTCTATAAACAGAGGCCATTAATTAAAGTGACACGTGGCTATTCGTGCAACTGTATGCGCGGCCCTGTAAATATACACATAAAGCCCTGTAAGTATACACATAAACCCCTGTGTATATACAAATAAAGCTCTGTAAATATACATATAAATCTCTGCAAATATACATTAAAATCCCTGTAAATATATAGATAAAGGCCCTGTAAATATACAGATAGAGGCCCTGTAAATATACAGATAAAGGCCCTGTAAATATACAGATAAAGGCCCTGTAAATATACAGATAAAGGCCCTGTAAATATACACACAAAGCCCTGTAAATAAACACAATCATGAATACCTGCGGTTCTGTTTGTGCGCGAGCCGCTTCCACAGCTTGCGGTCCACGTGGCGGAACATCACCATGACCAGTCGAAGCTCGCACGTGGGCGAGTTGACGGCCAGGTGCAGCGCTGTGTCGCCGCCCTTCATATCCTGCAGGCGAGAGGTGAATGGATAATTTGAATGTGAAGCGAAAGCAAAGTGACAGCCTGTGCTTGTCCCACCGCTGGGCAAAGCGTGCAGAGGGTATCGGGGCATAGTCCACCACGCGGCCCCTCTGCGGATTGGCGGACTTCATCTATATCTTCGAAATATTAACTTTTATGATTTCGAAAATATGCAGGTCTCCTCGCGATTTCCCTCCAACGCTGAGCGCATCATAAGTCAGCAAGTAAAATTAACAATTTCATACGTACAATGTACTCCCCCCGTTTACCCCCTCTACAGCCACTCAGATGCCTCTACCCTCGACCTTCCCCCCTCCCCCTCGCCCCCCCACTCACCCCCCTCCATACGTCGGCGCCCGCGTGCTGCAGCAGCACGTGCAGCGTGTACTCGCGCGGACACTCGGCGCTGTGCAGGCTGCACGCCACGTGCAGCGCCGTGTACCCTGCGGACGGACGGTCCTCCGTGTACTTAGCGCAATAACTTCGCCTCTAACGGTCTCTCCGCTAAGGGAAGAACTACAGTAGAGCTTCTAGGTGGCAGTGGCCGTTGGGACCCGCTAACCAAACTGTCCAGCGCGGTATACTATTGACCTTGGCGCGGACGGACTCGGACGTAACAGTTGTGGAGTGAAATCGTTTTTGGCGCAATCCTATCCTGTTTGGCGTCCCAATAGGGTTTCTTTATTCGAAACTCCTCAAGGGAGCTGGCGGTTCGCCCGATGTTAAGCGAAAGCCGCCACCCGTGGACATCTACAACAGCTGGCTTCTGCCAGTCACATTTAAAAGTGGGCTACGACCACCCCGCTCGGCAGACGAAACGCGAAAGTATTTTTTTTTTGTGAGACGGTGGCGGTATGCGAGCCGACGGTTCACCCGACGTCGAGTGATAACCGTCACATTACCCGTGGACATTTGCGACGCCCCCATGGCTGCAGATGCGTTGCCACCTTTCGATAGAACGTGCCCCGGCTACCTCAATCGCCAGACGAAACGCAAAAGCGTACGGCTCCCTCGAGGCCGTAGCTTCCCGGGCGGACCTGCCCATTCGTGGAACAGCGAGCGAACAGAGAGAGAGAGAGGTATGACTGCAGAACGTCCACCACCTCACTCACCGTGACCGTTCGCGTGGCGACATGGTTTTCATACACAATGGTACGGAACCCTACGTGTGCGAGTCCGACTCGCTCTTGGCCCGCTTTTGCGCTCTGCAGCGAGTAGGGATGGGCAATCCTCCATGTGCGTATTGCGACCGACGGATCCACCGACAAACCCACCGGTGCCGCTGTCCCATTGGACACTGTGGGGTCCGTACCTGGCTCCTCGAGTGGGAGTTCGGTAAATTTTGTATCTGCGTAGATTCGGGGGCGAAAAATCGAGCTAGGTTTCATTTATAGAAAATGTCCTTTTATCCCTGTTTTCAGGGAATGAAAAATATCACTCGAATATGACGGTAAATTTCGCCGCAAAAAAAAAAAATGTTATAATAGCTCGGTCGGTAATCGGGCGGCCCCGAAACAGACGGCCGCGGTTCGTATCACGATCATTTGCACACTCATTTATTTTACTTTTTTTCCTATACCAGATCATTTTCTTTATTTTTCATTTTTTTCATTTCCAAAATACGTGTTTTTACCAAATAAAAACCCAGCAAAGCTCGGTGCTCCAGGTGCTTTGTATTAAATAGGCGGCCAGCCCGCCCCGTGCAAGACAGAATAATGGGGCGATCGCCCACTCACCGTCACCGTTCGCGTGGTGAACATCGAAGAGCGGCGGCTGGTCAGCTTCGCGCCTCACCAGCTCGCCGAGCGCCTCCGCACAAGAGTCGCCCACACGGGCGCACGCTATCAGCAGGTTGTCGCCGAGCGCGTCCACCTGCAACGGGTGCGATTTTTCGACCGACTTCGAAAAGAAAGGGGGGCGTCCTCTTTTCCAAGTCGGTCGAAAAGAAATAACCTATCTCGAAAAATGGGAGGCTCTCGACTCGGTAGTATTATTGTAATGGGCGTCCACTTGCAACGGGTGCGATTTTTCGACCGACTTCGAAAAGAAAGGGGGCGTCCTCTTTTCCCAAATCGGTCGAAAAGAAATAACCTATCTCGAAAAATGGGAGGCTCTCGACTCGGTAGTATTATTGTAATGGGCGTCCACTTGCAACGGTTGCGATTTTTCGACCGACTTCGGAAAACGGGTGACTTCTCATTTCCGTTGTATTTTTGTAATGAGCGTCCATCTGCATCGGTTGCGATTTTTCGACTGACTTCGAACAAGGGGAGAATCGTGAGTCGGTTGGTTTTTTTTTTTGAATAAGCATCCATCTGCAACAGTTATATATATATATATCAACCGAATTAAACAGTTACACTCAACATTACCTCGTGATGAAATGGCTGAAGGATTCGTTTCCCTCATTAAGGTAATAAACTTCTACATCAGCCCATGATAATTAACAGCCTTATTTGGTGTGGAAAGGTTGATGACTCCGTGGCGCAGTCGGTTCGAGGGCAGTGTGTTCGATTCCCACACGGGACAAGTATTTGTGCGACCCACAGATAGTTGTCTCGTATCTGGGTGTTTGTCCGCGTGAAATTTACGTTGGCAAAACGTCCTTGCAACACAGGACAATGTTATCCTAGAGTGAGGGCAATGTTTAAAAAAATAATCAGGTCTGACGTATTTGCGTGCCGTTGCGCATTATGGTGACAAGCTTGTCACTCATCTTGTAACGGGCGACAGGCTTACCTCGTGGAAGACGTGCTCGTTCTCCTTATAGCGCGGCGCCGATTCCGATTTGATCGCGCCCCTCACGCACTGCACCAGATAACGGGTGAGCAGGGGCCGCCGGTGGCAGCGCAGCACTGCCAACTTCAGCACACCCAGTCCTGGAAACCGGGAACAACTGTCGTGGTGAGGGTTAGCAACATTCATCGCTGTTGCCCATTCGTGCAATGTCCGTCCACCACCTTCACCACATAGCATAAAACAAAGTCGTCCCGCTGTCTGTATATCCATCCACCATAGCCACCCTGTATACCCTATACAGGGTGGCTTTTCTATAGGTGCCCAAATTCACACAAGAGGTTCCGACTCGGTAGTATAATCGTTTATTGAAATAAAAACAAGCCTATTTTTATTTTTCAAAAAAATTGCCATTCTATTCCCTAAAAAACAGAACTTGTTGACAATACGGTAGTCATTCATAAACGCGGCGCATACTTTTGAAACGAACTTGTGTGCGTGTTAGTTATGAATGATCGCGCGTATAACAAATAAATCCCATAAATCACGCACTTTTGAGATAACTTCAAATGAATGTATTTAATTAATTACCAGTGATTTTAAATGTTTATCATTTTTTTATATGACATAATTTATGTCTAGAATTTAGTAAAAAAAAATGGATACACTTAGAAAATCCTCCCTGTATATGCTTAGATCTTTGAAACAACGCAACGGATTTCGATGTGGTCTTCTTTAAGAGAGTGATTCAAGGGAAAGTCTATATGTATAATTCATACACTATATAGTAGAGAAACTGATCATTTTAGAGGTTTCTAATGCGAAGTCGAAAACAAATATTCAGCATTGCACCCGTGCGAAGCCGCTAGTCTTTCATAAAACAAAACATAGGCAGTCAAGTGGAGACTGCTGACAAAAGTGAAAACAAAAAAATTAAAGTAAAGTAACAGTCTATAAATGTCCCACTGCAGGGCAAAGGTAGGCCTTTGAATTTGTCTATGCCCTATGCCTATGATGATATAAAAATAATATTTGACCATGCTATATATTAGGGCATAGTCAAATATATATAATTTTTTTTGTTATTATTTCGAAAATGTTTAGGTTTCCTCACGATATTTTTCTTCACCGCTGATCACGTGAATTTACTTTAACTTAAACTTTAATACTTAATTCTACATAATTATTTTATATTAGCACTCCGAAGCCCTGATACCCTCTGTATAGAGGAGGCCTTTGCCCAGCAGTGGGACATGTATAGGCTGTTACTTTTAGGCACTCCGAAGGGTAATAACAGTAATCATATCCATAACTAAAAATATATTTTGCGTATACCTTTTTTAAAAATGGCTCCATAGGAAGCGTTCTTAAGCACCTCGCCATAAGGGAGAGAAGAGCGTATTATTCAAATTAGTACAGACTTAGTTGAACTAAGAAATAAGTTCATTTATGCAAAAAGATAATTCAGTGTATTATTGATTTGTACTTGTGTGCGTGATTGCTGTTAGTGTGAGTTGTGTGGCCATTCCTCCATGTTTAATTTGCGTTCGTTAATCTTAAAGCGTATAATTTGCCGCCATTGACGAAACATTAACAAGTTACATGAAATTAATGCTTATATCGAATCTTATAGCTCTTATAACGAATATCTGATAAAGTCGTATATTGACAAAGATAGTGGAGTAGACTGTAAGACGTTATTCTTCAGAATGTCATACCATTCGTTGACAAATACTTGTATACGTCTGATTATACTCCCTAATCAGACGTATACAAGTATTGTATCAGTGATCTTGATGAGATCCGATAGTCACTTAGTTACTTCAACTTATCATAACAACACATGATACACTCATCTGAATGTGAAACGGTTATATAATTGCCCAATATTTAATAAATAAGTATTTCTGGGCATATTTTTACGTTCAGCGAACAGCTTGGAATGTGCATTGACTTTCCGCATATGCGCAAAGGTCGTAACTCCATCTATTGGGGGATCGTAATATTATGCAATAATTAGCTATGTAGGTCATAACTGTTTCGAGAGCTAATAAATCTTTCATGAAAAGTGTTGGAGCCGTTTCTTTGATTCAGCTTATATACTAAAACACACATATAGAGGATAACTTTTTAAAATTGTATTAAACATTTACTTTAATTAAACATCAATATTTTAACGGTGGTAGGGCCACGCTGCAGCCTCGGCTGTTGCACGAATGGGCAGGCTCATCCGGGTAAGTACCACGACCTCACAGAAGACCAGCGTAAAGTGGAAGTGTGACAAATACTTTCGCGTTTCGTCTGGTGAGTGAGGTAGCCGGAACCCAATTATCAAAAGGTTGTCAACGCATCTGCAACCCTCGGGTGTGGCAGATGTCCATGGGTGGGCGGTATTCACTTAACATCAGGTGAACCGTCTGCTCGTTTGACAACTTTTCGCATAAAATAACATAAAAAACAGAGTTATTACATTTTCCGAAACAAATAATTTTAGAACACTCGTACGTATAAAACTAAACTTACGTAAAGTTCATTTGTAAAGGTTTCAAAGCATATTAATTGATTGAATGAATTTAAAAGAGATGAAAGATAATGTTAGAAGGAGATACTTGCAATAGGACGTTGTGGCAAGGAATGAAAAAGCCTCTGAATGTATGAATCAGTCACGCGTAGTTACATACGATGTTACAAACTTTGTTTCTTTTTTATTTAATTAATTTGTTTGAAAATTATTCTTTTTTTAGTTATGTATTGTTTTTAACGTTTATATTTTTTTCGATTATTGGCTAGTAGCGTTACTAGTTGGTTAATTTAAGGTCGCGGTAACACCACGCTGTATACAGGGTGATTTTATAGATGGCGGACGTAATAACAGAGCATATGTAGAATTTTATTCTAAATCTGAATCTGGTACGTACTTGTGGCCTCATTTTTTTTTTCAAAGATTATTTTTATTTTTTTCAAACATTATGAACACACTATTAGAAATTCCTGCCTTACCGTCTCAATACAATAAACTATTCACGAGCACTAAAACCGTTCGCTGAACGCATAATCACTGAGCCGCTTATCAATATACAAATTTTTTACTACACTAATACTTTACTTACTTTTTTTACTACATTAATACAAATGAATACATTAATGACAATAACCCCTGGGAATGAGTTGATCGCTCCCAAGCTATTTCTAAAAGGAAAAAAATCAGTTGTATAATATTTTAATTTTTGTTAAGAAAAAAAAATGAATTACAAAAAAGAGGATACCTACGGAGTTTCTTTCGCCTGTTCCCTCTCCGCTAGAGGAGCCTCATTACGAAACGGTGGTAGATTTAAAAAAAAATATGATTATCGATAAATGAAATGTAAGTTTCTTATGTCGATGAATAAATGATTTTGATTTTTTGATTTTTAAAAAAATAAAATAGGGTGACCCCTCTTAACGGGATAAACGAACAATGTTTGAATTGATATTTTTCTGGTTATTTCTTGTCAAAATAAAATATCAACATTTTTTTTAAAATTATGGAATGCTCAATTAACATTATGTCAAAATATGTACCCTGTATATGCATATGTATACAAGAATTGCTCGTTTAAAGGTGTCAGATGTCAATACATTCATTTTGATACTAGCTGCTGCCCGCGACTACGTCTGCGTTGAATAGGCTGAAGGCGTAACATTCAGACAGAAAGACAGATACACATAAAAATATGTATATAAATTATAGCCTATGTGTTATTCTTATGTATAAGCTATGTTATTGTAAAGTTTCATTAGAATCCTTTCAGTAGTTTTTGCGTGAAAGAGTAACAAACATCCATCCATCCATACAAACTTTTGCCTTTATAATATTAGTAAGGATTAGTAAGGAAGTGAGGATTTCTCACCGAAATCTCCGAGGAACAGCTCCGGTTTCTGGGCGATGATACGTTCGCAGATCAGGTTCAGCAGCGCCATATGGAGGTGTTCCTCGGTGTCGCTGGTCGACAGGCTGAGGAGTATGTGCTGGAGTACCCTGGGAATGTGCAAACGGCTTCTTCTCATCATCGTCGTTTGATGTCTGTTTTGCGGTGGTAGGGCCACGCAGCAGCCTCGGCTGTTGCACGAATGGGCAGGCCCGTCCGGGTAAGTACCTCGACCTCACAGAACACCAGCGTAAAGTTTCGTCTGGTGAGTGATGTGGCCGGAGCCCAATTTTCAAAAGGTTGTCAACGCACGTCCGCACGTGTAGCGGATGTCCGTGGGCTGCGGTATTCACTTACCATCGGGTGAACCGTCTGCTCGTTTGGCAACTTTTCACATTAAAAAAAAAAAGAGTTCCGACTTAAAAAAGGAAGGAGGTTCTCAAATCGACTGTATTTTTTTTAAGTTTGTTACCTCCGAATTTTCCCTGGGTGGGCCTATTTAAACGATTCTTTATTTACGTAGAAAAAGTGCGAAAAGATTGTCGCCGCTGTGGGAATCGAACCCACGTCTTCGGCATTCACGGCCTGACGCCCTAGCCACAAAGCTAAACGGCTGATTGCCACACCGACGAAAATCTTAACGCATTCTTCTACATTGTTTTCTTAGCATTTGAAGCAATGCTTGGCGCCATCTATTGTTATATCCTTTCCAGCATACAAACAATTTCGAATATTATTTTACAACGATAATTCGAACGAGAGATGTCGCCATTGCTTTTTTAGAAATTTTAAATTGTTGATAGTGCTAATCTTTGCACTTAAGATTGAACATTAAAATATGTAGAAAAAGTGCGAAAAGATTGTCGCCGCTGTGGGAATCGAACCCACGTCTTCGGCATTCGCGGCCTGACGCTCTAGCCACTGAGCTAAGCGGCTGATGATCACACCGACGAAGAAAACAATGTAGAGGAATGCGTTAAGATTTTCGTCGGTGTGGTCATCAGCCGTTTAGCTCAGGTTCTTCATTTATTTGAAAGCCGGCGTTTCCCATGTGGTCCCATATTAATTTTAATTGGTATTGGATCTTGGGCTCCGGAGATGCTTAGGGAGCGAGATATTTGATGTCGGTTTTGTTTTTCGTTATTAAAAAAAAATGGACTTGTATTGAAAGGTCGCATCTGCAAAATCGTCAAATCGTCAGCTCGTCTTCTTAAATTAAAAAAAAAGATGCATAAAATAGAATAAAACGATAAACGGCCCCTTTTTAAAACAAAGAACCGTCACAGCTCAACCAATATAGACTTGAGTGTAGGGATGTCGACAAATATCGATATGTCGATATTTTTGATTTTATAATATGTTATATCGATATTTTTCGCCGATATATTTGGATCCGATATATCGATACAAAATGTTCAATATCGAAATCGATTCAAAAACGATATTTTTCAATTTCAAATCCGGCGCAGATTCCGTTTAGGTGTCAAATTATACTGGATACACATATCTTTTCTTTGAACAACAGGGCCTAAAGAGAATTTTTATGCCCTTGTCTCTTCGATATATCGAGGCCGATATTGAGTTTTTTTTACACATAGCCCTTACTTTGGGATGACATTATCCTATGTTGTAAGAACATTTTACGAACATGAATTTTACGTGGACACCCAGATGCGAAACAACTATCTGTGGGTCACACAAATAGTTGTCCCGTGTGGAGATCGAACCCACGACCCTCGATGCCATAGCCAATGCCTTGGCAACTGCGCCACGGAGTCATCGTAATATTTTTATAAATATCGATATATTTCTACACTTTCCACATCCTTACTAGAGAGATGTTTGCGCAGAGAAAAATTCTGAGCACGTCGCAGTTTCCTTAAATAGCAACTCTTCGGACCTCACGGGCAATCCAATTGCTTCCACGAAGTCGTTTATTAAAACGAAAACGAGGCGATGGAACAATGCAAGCGTGTTATCGCGAGTATGTTGTGCATTAACATATCGGTTCGGAGTTATTTATTACAATGACGTACGCGTCGATAGGACAGCTCCGCGAATGGAATATAATGTCTGCACTAGCGACCCGACCCGACTGCGCCCGGGTTGAATATACTGCGTTATCTCTCAAAAGGCAAAGTCAAAGTAAAAATTTATTTATTCAATATAGGCTTATAGAAGTAAAACTTCTTTACGTACGCTCGACTTGGGCAGCAAGCCGGTGAATGCGCGAGGAGAGCGTTACGAAAAGCGTGATCGGGCTAGGCGAACGGAAAGGTTACGCGAACGGTGATTTCTTGATTATTAATTTATCAATGAAAACCCGTAATAAATTTAAATATTTGTAGAAAATTAATATATGTATACACATGTATATGTTATACATAACATGTATGTTATATAAACGCATATATACATAGATGGAGCTAAAGAAGTTTTACTTCAGTCGTGTGGTCTAAGGCATACTCGTTTTTTTAAGCTCCCAGAGAAGGGGCGGCAAGAAACTCTGTTGTCTTGTTACTACTATTGCTGCGTTTGGAAACAATTATGAGAGTGAAATTTTAACGATGCAAGTGCTTACACCGACAGACAAAAAGCGACACGATAAAGTTGCTTGCAATGCGACCAACTTGACGGTATTATGCCATTATACAACTTTTTGACATATACCTATAATTCAAAGATATTTAAATGCATTTAATGTCCTTTTCACAAAAAGTGTACTGGCACAAGGGATAAAAAATTATATACAAATTTAAAAAAATATTTTAAATTACGCTAAAGAAGTATAACTTTTTACGTGCGTACATGTCTACACACATACTACAATATAATATACAAATCTATTTTAAGGATAAAGTCGGCAGCAGTCAGAGGTACTTGTAAGTGCAAGAGCAAGAATAATTTCCACACATCCTCTATTATTCTTCGACATTACTCTCCCCTGCGTACCTACAAATTGACAAAATTCGTGCACTTTCAATAAACTATACATCTTTATATATTATATAATTCTTGTGTGACTGAACTCCTAAACGACTGGGCCGATTTTGATGAAATTGTTTGCGTGTGCTCAAGTGGATTGGAGGATGGTTTAGATAGAGAGAGAGACAGAGAGAGAGAGAGTGAGAGAGAGAAAGAGAGTCAAATGTTAATCCAAACTCACCCGTAAGCCGTCTTCAGGTCCAGACTGGCCACCTTCACGCACAGCGCCCGCCTGTCCTCCATCTTCAACTTCTCCATGTGCTCGAGGAAGATCTCCTTGCAGGTCCGCCTGTCCGTCTGGCAGCACTCCTTCTTCGAGTAGCCGCCGGATATCTCCTTCTGCAGGTCTTTATACTGCTTCATAGTCATCGAGGAGCTGGACGTCCTCTCCCTGCTCTTCCCGTCAGAGTTCTCCGTCTCCGCGACGCACCTCGGCAGTTCGCGCTGGGCGACCTCATACGCGATCTCTTGGTACTTCTCGTTGTCGCTGTTGTAAAGCGGCGAGGAGACGCCGGGCGACAGGGTGTACTCCGAGTTGGGTGGGTACGGCTCCGATACGGGGCTGGCGGTGTTCTCCGAGCGGGGGGGAGTGGGGAATATCGAGGGCTTGTGAGGCTCGGAACAGCCGCCGATCGACAGCTCGAAGTCGCCGTAGTCGGCGTACACCGCGTGGTTGGCGTTGGAGAACTCCTCGACCGGGTTCGGCTCCGGGGCGCTGGCCTGGTAGCCGCTCACCACGAAGTCCTGCCCCGCCTGCGCCTGGACGAAGTCGTCCAGGATCGAGCGCGGCTCGGCCGCCTCCCGGGAGCCCTCCAGGAACTCCATCGCCACCTGCCAGTCCCGCTCCTGGTCCTGTTCCGAGTTGAGCGCGGAGTTCTGCACGTTCCTCTCGACCTGGTTCAGCACGAAGCTGATCTCGGAGAGGTAGTCGGCGGGCGTGCACTTGGTGAGCACGTGGCCCCCCGAGAAAGTGTGCCTGTTGATCTGGTTTATCTGGGGAGTTAACACGTCGACACGGTTAATTATTTATCGATGCCGTTACGAGGTGTATTAAGCCTTGTACTAAATGTTATCATATTAAGTGATTTTTGCAGTGCTAGGTATTGTGGTGAGTATACCAGAACACTCCGGTTGAATAGAATTTTTTAAGATTTAACATATATATATATATATAGATATATAGAGATTCATCCCTTTTTGTTAGTTAGAATTGAAATAACGCCGTCCGCACCGCAGAGAAGACTATTTTTCTTACGCGCACTACAAACGCAAAACGTACTTGTTTTAGGCCTAGAGCCACCGTTAATGTGTCTGGTGCAAAGGATGTAGGGGTCATAGTCCACTACGCGGCCACTGTGGGTGCGCGATTTACCTCGATGAGTACCTTTGGATTCAATCAATCAATCAAAAATCTTTATTCAAATAGACGCTTGCGCGTTCTTATGAGTCGTCAAATTTTACATAAAAAAACTATACATAGAGGTTCGTAAGGTACCACCGGTTCGGAAAGCAGTTTCTCTTGAGAAGAGACCGACAAGAAACTCAACAGTTGCTCTTTTTCAAAGATATCAGTTTACAATATAAAATACCCGTATAATAGTCTTATTCTACCCTACGTGAGTATCAACAGTATTAACTCCACACATTGGCGTCGTCGAGATGTTCCGCAATAGTGTAATATGCTTTAACCATGAGTTGACTTTTGATTTTACGTTTAAATTGATCAAGCGGCAGACTTAATTTTGATTAGGGCTGAAGATGCAGTGATCGGGTAAGGTAGAAATCCGTAATAGTAGGATACTGTTACGTGTTTCCGCCTTATCCGATACATAGTCTCTTCTAACTTAATCTATGAAGCATATATATTTTTTCCGATTACTAAAGATTATCAATTGACTTGACGGGCGATTTTGTACCATAGTGTTTCATTGTTTCTCCTGTTCATTTAAAATACATGGTAATTCTATACATTTAAATATCACTGTTTTATCGTCTTCCTTGTATGCGGTGTAATAAATAATTGTGTCGTTGCACAGTGGCATACTAATTTTTTGTTAAATTTATATCACTTGCAATTGCTGTTTCTGTAAATGATGTAATAGTCTATATATGTCCCACTGCTGGGCACAGCCTTCCTCTGTACAGAGGGTACTAAGACCTAATCTACTACGCGACCACACTACGGATTGCCGGACTTCACATATCTTCGAAATATTTTTTATTCGTCATTACTTCTAAATTATGCTGGTTTCCTCACGATGTTTTCTTCACCGTTGAGTCGGTGGCAATACTGTCTGTATTTAAGTTAACAATTCCCTTGGTGCCAGCACCGGGGATTGAACTCAAAAATGCTCGAGTATATTGAATTGGAAGCCATCGAGAAGGGGAAATTTTATAATTCTGCGTTTGTCTGGTGATAGTGAGGTAATCAGGGCGCTCGTTATGAAAAGCTATGGGTGTAGCAAAAGTCCATGGGCCGCAGATATCACTTAACATCAGGTGAACGAGTTAGTGTCGTTTGCCATTTTCTTACATAAAACAAAAATCAACAAGTGCGTTATAATTGTGATTCTTTTCTATTACACCGTCATTGTAGGTGTATTTACTAAATTTTTAAGCGAATAACTTTCTTATGAGGCCACAGCTCGCTATGGCACGACTAGGGTTGCCAACTGATTTCGGGAAAAATAAATTATCTCGTTTTCAAATAGACAAAAAATAAAAATATAAAGAATAAAGTATTTTTCAAAATCTTATTTATTTCTCTCCTTGAAGATGTATTTGTTGAATGCTTGAGGCACACACTCAGTTTATTCACTATTCTTAAATTTTTGGAAGCCATGACAAATTAACAAATTATCATGTAAGAAAAAAAAATGATTCTTGGAATGAAAATGTTTTGTTTAATCATATCATATACTTGACAGCAAAAGCTTTTTAGTTGAAAGTGTTCTGTTTCAACTTAGAAGAATTGATAAAAGTTCAACAAATATATATCCATATAAGTACATATACACATTACATTATATTACATTGTGTTTAATTTTATGCATCACAGTAAAGATTGAAAATAGAGTATTTTCACATACTTTATTTTTATGCAACAGTATAAAGTATATTTGCCATCAATAAAGTAGAATACGTTATCATAAAGTATGGTTGGCAACCCTAGGCGCCACAAACAAATTACCGTCGTGTCAAATAATCACACGCTCGTTGGCGCGAACGCAAAATCTGCGTTTTTTTTATCGTAAAGAAAACGCCCGTGTCGTCCGAACTTCGTTTCTCGGAAGAGTTATTTTCGTAACGCACCCCGTTGATAATTCGAGGAGTTATAAAACTAGTTGTTACAACTAGTTTTCGCGACGAGGTACCAAGGTCATACGAATTTATGTCGGATAATGACGACATCGATAATGAATCTTACGAATTGGTTATCTGTCATAACTGTGATTAATTTTAAAAGCGAAATATTAAAAGAAATATGTTTATATAAAGTTTAATGGTTGTCCCATAGTAAATTGACTTTTTGTATTAAAATAAATGGAAAAAAAAATAATTTTGAACAAAAACAAACCGACTTCAAACAGGAAACAAACATTGTCAACAGGGGATTGCCCTCGATTTGTCTGGGATACCATCATCAGATCTGGGTTTCCTTATCATGGTACCACCCTTGGGATATCTCCTTTCCAACAAAAAAAAGGATCATCAAAATCGGTTCATAAATGACGAAGTTATTCCTGAACACACATAATATATATATATATATATATATATATATATATATATATATATATATACGGCCGAATTGACCTCCTCGTTTTTTGAAGTCGGTTAAAAAAAAGGCTTGTAGCTCTGTGTGGTATTTCGGTAGGTAGTTTAGAGAAAAACCGATTGTAACACCAACGCGCCGTCAAAGGGACTCGTCTTTCCTATCCAATGTATTTTTTTTATGTGAGAAGGTGTCAAAGGAGCGGTGGTAAATTATGACGCTTCTTCACTTCACGCCGTTCTTCTGTGAGGTCGTGGTACGTTCCAGGACCTACGTGGTACGGACCTGCCCATTCGTGCAACGGCGAGATGTTGCGTGGCCACAGCGAAAAGTGAGTGTACATAAACATTCGTGGCTGTAACCTAGTACTCCAAAGAATGTTTTCTCATATATCCCACCTACAAGTGAATGTGACAGGTTATAAAAATCGTATGATGCTCAAAGAGATAGCAGTATATAGAATGCAATCTAATTACACCAATTGGCGTGATTTGAGTGCATCTGTTTCAGTCCGCTGGTCTCGTATATTTATGATATTATTGGTTGGCAATGCATCTGCAACCCACCAGGTATAGTTGATGTACATTGGCGGCGTTAGTCACTTAACATCACGTGAACCGCCAGCCCGCTTGCCGCCTTCCTTGAAAAAAACAAAGGGGCCCCAAAGAAGGTCAATTACACAGAAAACATCGTACCTGTCTATAGACGTTTTCAGCATCCGGATGACTGTTATTGTAGGGGTGTACCGACGCACCATAATCGCCGACCTTGTTCCTAACGGGACCCCTGGACACGAATACGGTCTGGACTTTCTTGCCCTTCTTCTCTTTGCTCTCTTTCGTGTCAACTTTCAGCTCTTGCAGCGCGTCTATCAGCTGCTTCTCTTCCTCCGCGCTCGTCTCTGCAACGCTCTTCTCCGAGAAGCCGCTGTCCTCGGACGAGTGGGAGTCAGTCCTGGCGGGAGCGCTACCCTCCTCAACCACTTTGTATGTGAAGTTCGAGAATTCGTCCTCTTCATCCTTCTTGTCTATTTGCAGCCTCTGGAAGTTCTCCAGGAGTACGGAGACCGGGGTGACCTTCGGCGCGGGCTTCGCCGCAGGCTTGCTCTCCTCCACCAACACCTGCTTCTTCTCTTTCTTCTTCTCCTTCTGGAAGAGCGCCTGGAATGGCTTCTTCAGGATGCTCTTTATCGATTTCCTATCGTTGTCGGCCATTGGTAAGTGCGGTTTCACTTCCGATCTCTCAGCGCTTCCCATAATTAGCAAGTGGTTGAACATACGGACCGTTCTAGTTCCCGTTGCAACTTAACCAATCTGGAACAATGTTGAGAAGAAATATGTTATGATAAAGTAGGTTTAACCACGTATTTACGTCGATAAAATGATTTTGTGACAACGCTTGTGATTTAATTAGTATCTATGTGAGCAGTGTCTATTAACTAATTTGTGCATTGTATGTATAAAAAATAAAATAAATAACCTATGTATTTTACTTTATGTATTAACCTGTATGTATGTAACGGCTGAACCGATTTTTATGATAAAAACATATTATCCATACAGTTCAACACATATGTAGTCAGATTTGTCTTGTCAAAAATAGGTTTAATTTTTTTTACCGCAGAGGGATTTTCGTTTTGTCTTGTTCTGAATATAATTACAGAGCTATTAGCGAACAGATAGTAAGTAAATTTAAATATGTTCCCCAACCCATCTCTCTGGTCGTGGAATGTAACTATAATCAGAAAAATCGGTTGTTGAAAAATGTAACTATAATCAGAAGAGTCGGAATCGCGCACATAGTTCCGTAATTTATAAAAAACTAAAAAAGCGATAAAATTAATCACGTCTGTGGTATGGGAGCCCGACTTAAATATTTGTTTATTCTGTTTTTTAATATTTGTTGTTATAGCGACAACAGAAATACATCGTCTGTGAAAATTTCAATTGTCTAACTGTCACGGTTCATGAGATACAGCCAGGTGACAGACGAACAGACAGACAGCGGAGTAATAGGGTCCCGTTTTATCCTTTGGGTACGAGACCGTAAACACCACTTCTCTTAAACCACCAAAGTTTGGTCTCTTAAGAACATGAACATGCAGTGGAAAGTACAGAAACGGACGAGATCAAGGTAGCTGATATAACTTTATTGGTCTCGTGTTGTTCACTGAATGGCTGTTGTCTCCATCGAGGATACAAGTCGGATGACTTTTTCGTATTTCGTGCAGCAAAATTACCTTATCTCGATCTACCATCACCACCATTCGGTTACCCCCCACACCACGTTGTTCCGTAAGGAACAGATTCATCGCCGTTACATGATCGCAGTAGTTGCACTATCGTGGCCATAAAAAGTCGTGACGTCACCGTTTGTGACCGGGTCTAGATCAATTGCAATGATAACCTCTTTTTTGGCGCGTAACCGTCACAAAATTCCGCGGAAACCACTCGTGCAGCCGAAAAGTTTGCGTACAAACGGTGTGCTGTTGTTTTCCGACGAATCGAGGTAAACGTTGCGACGTTGCGAAAGTCCGTTTATTAAGTTGTTTGTTTAATCTATATTACCTTAAACATTTCAGGATTGACTGTTGTAGGGCCACGCAACAGTGTGCACTGTTGCACGAATGGGCAGGTCCGTCCGGATAAGTACCACGACCTCACAGTAGACCAGCGTTTTTTTTTTTAAGTGAATAGTTGCCAAACGAGCAGACGGTTCACCTGATGTTAAGTGAATACCGCCGCCCATGGACATCTGACACACCCGAGGGTTACAGGTGCGTTGACAACCTTTTGAAAATTGGACTCTGGCTATATCACTCACCAGACGAAACGCGAAAGTATTTGTCATACTTCCACTGTACGCTGGTCTTCTGTGAGGTTGTGGTACTTACCCGGACATGCCTGCCCATTCGTGCAACAGCCGAGGCTGCTGCGTGGCCCTAGTATTACACTTCTGCGTTTTGTGTGGTGAGTGAGGTAGCCGGGAACCACTTTATTTAAAGGTGGCAACGCATTTGCAACTCTACAGGTGTTGCAGATGTCTATGGGGGGCGGTTATCACTTAATATCAGGGGAACCGTCAGCTCCTTGGCCACTGTTTCACATAAAAAAAATTTACAGCCTTTGGGCATTCGCTACCGATTAACCTACAGTGTGGGAAGGTCTTTTGGCAGGTGCAATTTTAAGTAAAATTAACAGATTGTGTGGAAAAGGTTGGATAATGGATAGCAAGTCCGAGCGACCACTGCGAACTAGAATATATATAGTAGTCAAAAACTAACAGATAGTAGTATGATCACGGCACTGAGCGAAAATTGCGCACGGGTAAAAAGTAAAGCAACAACCTATATATTTCCCACTGTTGGGCAAAGGCCTCCTCTACACAGAGGGTATCGGGGCATAGTCCACCACGCGGCCCCACTGCGGAATGGCGGACTTCAGACATATACGAAATACTTTTATGTTATTTCGGAAGTATGTAGGTTTCCACGCGATGTTTCCCTTCGCCGTTGAGTAAGTTGAATTTAACAATGTAATTGGTGCCCGCGCCGGGATTTGAACTCTGGTTGCTCGAGTATATTGAACTGAAAGCGAGCTCCCCGAGACAGAGCTATCGCGGGTCAGCTAGTTGACCTTGACTCGAGACGAACATAACTCAGAACATAGCCAGTTTTGTCTTATCGTATCGACAAATGATTCATGCTCGTTATCGTTCGGCGAATGTGAAATTATTATGTTATTGTACAATGATTATATTTAGCACTTTTCCTACGCCAAGTAAGTTTCTGATACACTGGTCATAGTAGAAGTCAACTAACCAGCTGTCAAATGGATATTCAAACGTTATTTGAGTTGCCAAAAGGGTTGTTAAGCTCTCTGAATTGATCAGAATGATCTTAATGATCAGAATGATCAATTCAAAGTGTTTAACAATCCTTTTGGCAACTCAAATAACATTTGAAAATCCATTTGACAGCTGATTAGTTGACTTCCACGATGAGCAGTGTTTCAGAAACCGGGCGTTGGTGTTTTGTTATATTGATGTGGAATGGTCGATCGATCGACTCAGTGCTTACCTTGATATTCGCTTTGGACCCTGTCTCAAAATAAAAAAAAAATCAAAATCATTTATTCATCGACATGACAAACTTACATTTCATCTATCGATAGAAATTTTTTTTAATCTACCGTATTTCGTAATGAGGTTCCTCTGGCGGGGAAGAAACAGGCGAAAGAAACTCCGCAGGCATCCTCTCTTTTGTCATTCATTTATTTTTCTTAAAAGAAATTAAAACATTATACAACAGATTTTTTTTCCCTTTTAGAAATAGCTTGGGAGCGATCAACCATTCCCAGGGGTCAATGTCATTAATGTGTAGCGAAGGAATGTCACCTATGGGACATCGAGATGACTCCGCGGCCCAGATGCAGATATTCGCTTCAGCGCCGGGTGAAGTTAGTGTTATACTTCTGCATTTCGTCCGGTGAGCGAGCTAACAGGGCCCACTTTAGCGTAAGGCGGCAACGAATCTGCAACCCAACGGCTGTTGCAAACGTTCACTGGTTACTAAGGTCACTTAAGTTGTTTTACTTTAGTCTACTATGTCATGATTTCTATTGTGGCGTCTATTTTAGGTCGTCTTTAATTTTAAGATACTCTTTAATAGTGTGTCAATTGACTAAACCCGATTTTTTTTTATATTAAACAAATATCGAAGATGGGGGCGCTAGTGTGGTTGATTTTTTTGGCGGGAGATTTTGACAGAGATACGAAAGCTGATTATTATTTTGTGATAAATCATTAATAATAGTTTATTGTATAATTTGTAAAGACAACAGTTTGGTGTTTGTTATAAATACAAGTGTTCAGAAGTAAAAACCAAGTTTCATTGGAATTACATTGATATACCACGTACCCCTCTTGATATACCACGAACACAGGATTTTGGATGAAAAAAAACGTAGAGAAGTATATAATTGTTACAACTATTTATTAACGAAAAACAAAACCGACTAGGAACATCTCGCTCTGTATTCATTTTATAATCGATTTTCAGGTGTTCCCTAAGTAACCCCGGAGCCCGAGATCCAATACCGATGAAATTAATATGGGACCACATGGGAAGCGCCGGCTTTCGAATAAAAAAAGTAATCATCAAAATCGGTTCGCTCGGCAGAAAGTTTTGAGGCAACAAACATAAAAAAAGAAAAAAAAATACATTTGAATTGAGAACCTCCCCCCTTTTTGAAGACGGCTGAAAGAAGCGCTAGCCCCGGTTACCTCGCTCAGCAGACAAAACGAAAGTATGCAACGCCGGTCCTCTGTCCATTTGGACATCAGAGGCTGCTGGGTGGCTACATTTTTTTTATTATGCGAAAAGTTGTCAAACGAGCAGACGGTTCACCTGATGTTAAGTGAATACCGCCGCCCATGGACATCTGCCACACCCGAGGGTTACAGATGCGTTGATAACCTTTTGGAAATTGTGCTCCGGCTACCTCACTCACCAGACGAAACGAGAAAGTATTTGTGATACTTCCACTTTACGATGGTCTTCTGTGAGGTCGTGGTACTTACACGGACGGGCCTGCCCATTCGTGCAACAGCCGAGGCTGCTGCGTGGCCCTACCACCGTAGCGCCGAGCATCGTAATTAAGCGAAAATTAAGTCTAACACCCAGTTTCCGAAAGCGCAATCAATTTTAATTTACGATAAATCTCTTGTCAAACGTTGTTTAACATGATCTGAGTTGCTAGAACGTCTGAAAACAACATTGATTTTGATTTGCAATTAGTCACTGATTAACGGACAATCAACATAAAATCGAGTTTCTGAAAGCTTTTTTCGGTGGTCAACGAGCTGTCAAAAGTTTTATTAAGTAATCTGTCAATTTGGACGATCAATCGTTGGTTAAAAATATATTTTATCAAAAATCTTAGTTTTTATTAAAAATAAACATAATTCCCTAATACGTTGTAAGGAAATTCATGTGCTCTATTAACTATTTATTATTTATTATTATGCGAACATATCATGCGATTAGAAAAAATAGAAAATGCAATTTAAAAGTTAATAAATAATATGGATTCTATCTTTTTATAATACTTACTTGTTTATTATGGATAAAAGTTCATTTTTTTTAAGTTCTGTAAAGTTTTTTCTTGACATTTTGCATGTATTTATATAAATTAAATTTTATTATAGCTCGGATCTTTACGTTGGCAATCACACGGTGACAGGACTGAATAGTGACATTAATTTAAGTTTTGTTTAAAAAGGGACAGCTATACAATAGAAAGAGTTAGTTGAA